CCCGGGTCCGGCATTCCCCGGTCCGGTAGCCCCCGGTCCCGTAGCTCGGCCGGGCGGGAGCGGAGTTGAGCCGGAGCCGCGCACCCTGAGCGCTGCCATTGGGCGGCCGCRGCGTCCATCACCCCGAGGAAGTGACTCCACGGGGAAGGCTCGAGGAAGGGCTCTCCGCAGGCAGCACGGCGGACACACACGGAAGGAAAAGGGGGAAAAAGCGGAGGGACGCACGCTTGCTTTCATCAGTGAGGAAAAAATCAGCAGGTAAAACTCGTTCGCTGCTAAAAGCCCGGCAGCGCCCACGGCGCGACGCGCCGGGCTGGGGCGCAGGGCCGCGTCCGCCACGGGGCTTTACAAAAACTGAAAGTGCAAGAAAAAGGCGTGCAGCTTTTCAGGGAAACACTTTCYTCTCACTGGCTCCCTCCACCTTCCGCAATTCTAGCTCAGCTTTAGGCACGCTGGCAAAGGAGGGGGCGGCCAGGTGAAAGCGAAAATGGAGGCCTTTCCCTTTTCTGTAACAACTTTGCCCAAAGGGGGCTCGTTCCTAATTTGAGACCTCATGGCCTGCTTTCGGCRGAATCTGTAAAATAAATCCTCCACGGAGCAACCCACGAGGGAGGGGAGCGGGCTCTGAGCCCGAGGAAGAGGAGGAAGGAAACAGACCCTGCCACACTGTGAGAGTTTGGAGATCTCAGTTCCCTTCGCTCGTAGCCTGGATGTTTCCCCACCTCATGCCGCTGCCGTCACGGGGAGCCTGAAGAGGTTCCCCCCACCCACCTCCTCACTCCTGATTGCATCCCCAAACCGTCCCGCACCCACCCGACAGTCACGCGGCAGTGCCCGCTCCCGGAATGTCACCGTCCCCTTTCCACCCACTGCCCGTCCCCGGGCGMGCCGAGCACCCCGCTTCCAGGGCGGCCCCATGCACACGCATCCCTCCCTCTCACAAGCTCCGGGAGCAGCCCCAACACACCCCGCACCTCTGTCCCTCTTTCGATCCAAGCAGCAGCCGTGCTCCGCACAGATAAGCCCCGCACCCGCGACCCGCAGCCCATCCGACGGGCAGCGACGCGCCCGTCCGGCGTTTCCCGGTGGCGGCTGTTGGTGCCCGATAACCCGGGGCGGAGAGCGGATCGCCAAGCCCCACCACGCCCGGCCACCGCCGCGGCCACGCTGCCCGGCCCCGGCTGCGCCCCGGCTCCCTCCGTACTACAAAAGCTGCTATTTTTAGTCGGCGGAGCGCGCGGCGTCACAACAGGTTTCCTCACATGTATTTTAAGAGCCATTCAAAGGCAGAGGCAGGCAGCGCGCTCATCTTCGGGGGGAAGGAAAATAACAACAAGACACGGGGAAGCATCACCCCGGCGAACACCCAGGGGACCCCCAGCCCCACGCCCCCGAGGGTGCGGGGGTGCTGCCGGCCCCGTCCCGCGGGGGTTGAGCGGTGCCGGCTCCGCGCCGGGGCGAGGTGACAGGGAAGATGTGACCGCGGGGCCGCCGCGCCCCCGCCCCTCGGGGGCTTCGGGGGCCGCTCGGAGGGGGCGGGCGGCGCTCCCCGAGCCCCCTCCCGCTCCCCCTCGGCGGGGCCGCCGCCGCCCGCCCCTCTCCCCCCGCCGGGCCCCACGTGCGCTCCCGGCCCGGCCCGGCCCGGTGCGAGGGGCGGCGGCACCACGTGCCCGGCGCGGTGGTGACTCAGCACTTTTACCTCCGCCGCCCCGCCCGCCCGCGCCCGACCGGACCCGACCGGACCCAGCGCGACCCGAGCCGGACCGGGCCGAGCCGCCCCTTCCCCCGCCATCGAGCGGCAACGCGCGGCCACCCCCCCTTTCCCGGCTCCGACCCTCCCCGCACGCCCCCGCCCCCCTCCGCGCCGCGCCCGGGCGGCTCCTCACCTGCGTGCCGGCGGGAGCGCCCCGTGGCGGGGGC